GAGGGGGGGGGGGCGGGCGGTGTGGCTAGTCTGAGCGAGCAATTCGTCTTTGGGAGCAGGTAGTCTCGGCACGCAAAGCAGCCGGGCTGCGCCCGTCTGCAGCCAGGGCGCTGTGAGAGCCTCCCTGCAGCCAGGCCACTCTGTGCGACCTCCTCTCCCTCTGCGAGGCAGGTGCGCGCCCTACAGGTGCAAGCGGCGTCCACCTGGCAGGTCCTCCCGGACTTGGTGTGGTCAACCTTGCCGCGGTAGTCAGCGCCATTCGGCTGCTCGAAGCACTCGCTCGCGTCGTGGAAGCAGTCCCGGCCCTGCGCGAGGCGCGGGAGCCGCAGCACGCGTGCTGAGTGGCCGCGCGTGGTGCGTGTGCCAGAGAGTGGCTTACGCTGGCGGGATGGCGCCGAGCGGGGAGCGGGCACGCACATCCCAGTGGCAAGCCTCGATGTTGCACTCCAGGTCGCACGCGCCGTCGTCTATCCACTGCGCACGAGGGAGACCGGGTGCAGCTCACGGGCGTGCCCAGAGGGCGGGCAGGCCCAGTGCGGTGTGGCAGGACAGGGCCACGCCTCGTTGGGACAGTTGTACACGCAGTTGTCCTCCCACTGCAGCTGACGCGGATCCGTCGGCGTCACCGCCGCAGCAGTGTCGGCCGCGGATACTACGGCTGCTGGAGCTAGCGACAGCAGCATCCGTGATTTAGCTTCTGTTCTCGTGGCGAAGCGAGCGCCGTTGCCTAGGCTAGTTTTGAGAAAAAATAAACTACTCAGCGGAGCTGGGAATAGGACCGCCGCAAGCGGCGTGGCGTGGCAACCCCGGGCCCCGAAATAGCACAGTGACAGTCAGACATGCAACACGGGGACCCAGGGAAGGCGAGCAAAAACCTTATCGCGCGCGCTAGACGCCGACTCGGAGGCCCGCACCGGTCAGGCGCGCAGCCGGAGAGAGAGGGAGGCGCTCAATCGCCGAACTCGGCGAGCGCCTCCAGCGTCTCCGCTTCGTACGCACCCTCCTCCCAGCAATTGAGCGCCTCCTCCACCCCCGCGCCTGCGCCCGCAGCGTCCGTGCCCGCGAGGATGGCGCGGCGACGCGCTCCCTCTGCCGAGCCGCCTTCGCCTCCGCAAGCCCCCAGAAATGATGTCTATGTTCATTTGTAGGGATCCCTAGGTCTAGTTTTGAAAAAGAGAATTTTCGCGTCCCAGGGACGCTCCACTCTACCTTAAGCTCCTGAGGGGCGCGTGGTTTTAACCACGTAGTATGACTACAGCCCACCCCAGACACCCTCCCTCTCCACACGTGTGCACACACCCTCACCCTCACCCTCACCCCTCTCCTCTCTCTCTCTCTCTCCTCTCTCTCCTCTCCTTGTCTGTGCTGTCTGCCTGACTCAGGCACTAATTCTGCCGATGCGTGATTGTGTGTGGGCTGCTCCGAGGGGGCCCTGTGCGATCCGATGGGTAGGGAGTCTGTGCCCGGGCGGTGTCCGGTGCGGAGTCTCTCTCTGATCCCACCTGTGGTGTTGGGTGTGAGGTCGTGGAAGCTTCGATCCCAAGGGGGGGAGCCGAGCCCACTCATAACCAACTCTCAGGGGCAGTAGGTGGGCGAGCCTCGAGCGCGCTCATCTCGATCGTCAAGGCGTCGCTACGCGCGGTCTTCCGCGGGGGGGGCTTCGTCGACGGGTGTGCGGGATCGCGGCGCAGTCAGTGCCGTGGCGATGCCTTCGGCTGTTTGCGGCGGGCGGCTTGCTGCTCGCTGCATGGCGAAAAACTCGTCTCGCCGCACACCAAGGGCTTATGCTCTGGCGAGATGTGAGGCGCATGCGCCCAGGAGGGGAGGGCGCATGCGTAACGACGCTGCTAGAGATGCCTTTCGGGGCCCAGAGATAATACTTCTGATGCCATGCATGACCTAGTAGTGTCCCCAGCTATGGACGTGTCCACGTTGGAGCCAGGTGTGGTGTGGGCGCGAGAATAGCTCCGCCGTTCATGGAGGCAACCGATACGAGTCGACTGGTGTGTGTCGTCGTGGTTTCGTATCAAGAATACTCACTCACTCACAAAACGCGGCTCGCCGGCCTGCGCGCCGCGCCAGCGTGCGTCCACGTCGCCGCCAAATTTTTTTTCTATTCATTCAGAGACTATGGAAAGTTCACGCCATGGCCCATTTCCTTTTCCTTTCTTTTTTTGGGCCCTGTGGGCACCCTGCCCTGCCCCCTTCTCGTGGCGATTACAGTTCACCGTTGCGACGCGTTAGGTCACGACGGAGAATCAGCAGCCCATCAGCTCCGTGACCGTCACCCCGGATACCAAGAGCAAGCCTTCCAAGGCGAAGAAGTATCTCAAAAACTTCGAGATCTGGGTCGGCAAGAAGGCTGGAGAAAAGGCGGTGAAGTGCGGCGGACCATTTGCCTGGTCAAAAATCAAGAAGGGGCCAGTCACGGCGCCGTGCGACGCTGCCAAGTCCAAGCGCGTCTGCCACCCTTCCCACCGCCACGCCTCAATCCCGACTAGTTCCCGTGACGATGGGCTGCCTGGGAAGCAAGCGCCCCCTCCCCCCCCCCCCCCGACCAGGCACCGCTACGTGACTATCATTCTCCCCGGCAAGAAGAAAACGCTCGCGTTTGGCGAGATAGAGGTGCGGTAGTTGGGAGGCCTAGACTGCCAGCCTTCACACACAGGCACAACCCCAGCCTTCAACGGCAAGTTCCTGAACTCTCCTTTTCAGACGGTTTCTCGTCTGTGCAAGTTCGCTGTGAGTCTGACATATCTCGCGCTGCCATAAGAGCCGGAAGAGAGGGGCGGAGAGCGGGAGAGAGCTTTTTGATGATGAAATACATGCAATGTAGCACTTACCGCTACTGTACGCGCGGCGCGCATCCCCCTCTCTTGCCCTCCACGGCCGCTGAGCGGCGCAACGCAAAATGCCTCCCCGTCGCGCGCGCTAGCGGCTCGGCGAGTCGGCCGTCACCCGAGCAAGCGGGCGACTGTGGGCGACGGAGCCGCTGCGCCGTCGGGGCGACGGCTGCGGCGGCGATGGCGGCAGCGGGCCGGGCGGCTGCGGCGGCGGTGGCGGTGGTGGTAAGGGCGGCGGCAGCGCGGGCGGGGCAGCGCTCATGGGGCACAAGAAAGAGGCTGCACGGCCTGTGTACGGTCTGTGCTGCTCAGGTGCTGCTGTCGGGCTGGTCGGGCTGTCGGGCTGTCAGCGCTGCTGTCAGGCCACTGTGAGCTGTCGGGCTGTCGGGCAGCTGTCAGGCTGTCACGTTAGGGCCTGACAGCGACGGGTCGCCTCTGATGTCAGGCTCTGCTGTCAGGCTGTCAGATACGTGCTGTCAGACTGTCGGAGAAAGTGCTGTCAGCGCTGTCAGGCTGTCGGGCACTGTCAGGCGCTGTCCGGGGTTTGCTGTCAGGCTGCCAGACCAGGGCTCAGACGCTGCCACGTTCGGCCGTGCCCCGGGAGGGGCGCGGTCGACACCAGAAGGGGGTCGTATACGTTCTCTAGAGACGACGTAGTCGGGGACGTCCGCAATGGTATCACAATGGGGACGGACACGACGGGGCGAGGTGTGAAAGCACAGAGGCAACCAACACACACTAGGGTTCGGGATCGATCGGGAGAATGCTAGGGTTAGGGAGAGAGTGCCTGACGGGCTTCGGCCCGACGCGCCCTACACAGAGAAATTCTGAGGTAGAGGAGCAGGAGTTTTGCAAAACGTGTGAGACCGCGTACAAACGCTGCTGTGCATCAAGCGCTGAGAGCTACATCCACGCGCACCGGTGTCTTATTTTAGTCCATGGGGTGTAATGCACAGATGGGTGGGTGGGCGGTTGGGCCCCTTCGCTGGTGCCTGTCACTAGGGCTAATGGCTGCCTCACTGTGGCGCTGGCGCTGCCTCGCTGTCGCTGTCGCTGTCGCTGTCGCTGTCGCTGTCACTCGCAGGGTCCCGCGCTGACATTGTCACCGCCTGTCGCTGGCGTTCACTGGCTTCACTGTCACTGTCACTATGGCTGTCACTGTTCCTGGGTGCCTTTCACTCCTCCCTGGCAGCTGGCTGTCACCAGCTGTCACCAGCTGTCACCAGCTGTCACCAGCTGTCACCAGCTGTCACCAGCTGTCACCAGCTGTCACCAGCTGTCGTTGCTGCTGTCGTTTCGCAGCCGCTGTCACGCACGACATATTGACCACGTCGCGGCCGTTAACAGCCGTTTTAACCGTCATGACGTGAACTTTCCATAGTCTCTCAGACCTGAAAAATCTCTCTCTCTCTCTCAGACCTTCGAGTTCACGGGTGGAACTGGTGAACTGTGGTTCATGAACTGGTTGATTGAGATGAGAGAGATTTTTAGCAGTGTTTTGTTGAGATGATGCTACGATTGCGAGGAGTGTGTCGCTGACAATCCTTCGACTTCTCAGCTGGACTTGTAGGATTGCGAGCGAGGCTGCTTGCCAAGTTCAAAAGAAGGCTTCGCACCTAAAGCCCGGGAAAAGAAAACAGGTGTGCAAACACGTCGTGTCCTGTCCACATGCGCGGCGCGCCGGCAGAGGCCCCGCCAGAGTACGCCTCACCAGGCGCGGGCGAGGCGCTCGAGCGGGACCACGCGCGAGCGGTCGCGGCGGCGGCTCTACTGGAGCCGGCGGCGGCGGCCGGAGCGCCGCGCGCTCCCGCCGCCTCAGTGCACCGCGCGGCGGCCGCCGGGCACAGCTGGTTGCGACGGCTGCCAGCGACGCCGCACGCCGCGACGACAGTCGAGCCGGCGCTGCTGGCGTGCGTGCGGCCGCCGGCGGTAGAGTACGAGCCTGCCATCCCGCGCCGCCTCGCCCGCGCCGGCGCCCTCTCCGACCTCCAGCTCGAGGCGGTCCTTGCCATCGGCCGCACGCACAGCACGCTGCTCCCCGCGCCCGCGTCCGGCGGGTGCGCGGCGTCCACCTCGGGATCGCCCAGCGACGGCGCGGCGGGCTGCCAGGGCGTCCGCGCCGGCTTCCTCCTCGCTGACGGCCCCGGCGTCGGGAAAGGGCGGACGCAGGCGGCCTGCGATTGAGAGGTGGTCGATGAGAGGGAGGACCGAGAGGGAGTGAGAGGTGACATTGTTCGCAGGCGGCCGCGATCCTCGACGCCTGGCTCCACGGTCACCAGCGAGCGGTCTGGGTGTCGGCGTCGGCGGACTTGCACGCAGACGCCGTGCGCGACTTGCGCGCCGTGTGCTCTGCCACGCCGGGCATGCCGCAGCTGCACAAGCTCGTCACCCCGCTCTCCTCTGTCGCCGCCTCTGCGCCAATCCCGGCGCGAGCACCGCCCTCCACTCGCACCACCTCGGAGCCGTCCCTCAGACCTTCTCGTACGCCCCCTCGCGCAGGCGCCGATCGGCGTCGTCTTTTCGTCGTACGCGCTGCTCGCGCGGCCAGCGCGGCTCGCCCAGCTCCTCGCGTGGTGCCAGGGCGGCGGGCGGCGCGGCGGCCGGCAGAGCGGTGCGCGCCCCTTTGAGGGCGTCGTGTGCCTCGACGAGTGCCACCGCGCCAAGGCGGCGACCGCCACCGGCATGGGGACGGTGAGATTACCCGAGAATTCCCGAGATGACCCGAGATTAGCTCTTTGCCACCGGCATGGGGACGGTGAGATTACCCGAGAATTCCCGAGATGACCCGAGATTAGCTCTTTGCCACCGGCATGGGGACGGTGAGATTACCCGAGAATTCCCGAGATGACCCGAGATTAGCTCTTTGCCACCGGCATGGGGACGGTGAGATTACCCGAGAATTCCCGAGATGACCCGAGATTAGCTCTTTGCCACCGGCATGGGGACGGTGAGATTACCCGAGAATTCCCGAGATGACCCGAGATTAGCTCTTTGCCACCGGCATGGGGACGGTGAGATTACCCGAGAATTCCCGAGATGACCCGAGATTAGCTCTTTGCCACCGGCATGGGGACGGTGAGATTACCCGAGAATTCCCGAGATGACCCGAGATTAGCTCTTTGCCACCGGCATGGGGACGGTGCGGCACCACGCGAGAAAAGAAGCAGCACGCCTCTAACTCCGCGACAGCTTCCGCAGCTTGCCCCCCCCCCCCCTCCCCTCCCCCCCCCCTCCCCCCTTCCACCACCACCACCAAGCCCCTTCTCGCGGCCGCTGCGTTGTGGCACTCCTGCTAAGTGCCCGCACCGCACCCACTCCGCCCGCGCCGCCACGGCCACAAACACACCGCCCACCGACACGTCTGCTGACGCGTCCGCGACGCGCCCTCCTCCCCTGCGCACAAAGAATTCTGTTCTCCTCCCCTGCGCACAGGCGGTGCTGCGCATGCAGGCTGAGCTCCCGCTGGGCCGTCTCATCTATGCGTCCGCCACCGCCGCGACCGAGCTGCAAAACATGGCTCCCACAACTCACGGGCGGCTTCGGCCTGTGAAAGACGAGATGTGAGTTGTGAGTTCTGACGCCGTTCACTTAGGCCTACCTGGTGCGACTCGGGCTGTGGGGGCGGGGCACCATAGAAGCGGAGTCCGCAGTCTTGTCTCCGAACCAGCACTCGAGAGGACACGCCGCCGCACATTCGACCGCACTCCGCTGTATTCACTGTACTCGCACCCCTCGTATTCGCGCGCTGCTCTGAATCCCCTGCGCATGACCGCTGCTCTGAATCCTCTGCGCATGACCGGACTCTGACCTGCGCATGACCGGACTCTTTGCCCTGAGGCTGGCGTCTTCACCGCGTAGGCCGGGCACCGGCTTCGCTTCCTTCGGCGCTTTCCGCTCCGAGATGACCGCGGCGGGGCCGGCGGCGCAGGAGCTGCTACCGCTGCACCTCAAGGTGGGGACACGTTTCCGAGACTCTTCCGAGACATCTCCGGGACACTTCCGAGACACCCCCGAGACAACCGCCCGAGTTTCCCTGCTGCCGCCTCTCCTCCCCGCCGCTTCTCTCCTCCCCGCCCTCACCGCCGCCGCCCTCACCGCCGCCGCCCTCACCGCCGCCGCCGCTTGCGCCGCAGGCCACGGGGCGGCTTGTTTCCCGGCTCATCTCGTTTGAGGGCGTCCCGATCACGGTCGCGACGCACACGCTTTCCGCCGCGCAGCGCGCCGAGTACGACGCCGCCGCCCGCTTCTGGCTCGAGAGATAGCCGAGAGACACCCGAGAGACAGCCGGGGTACAGCCGAGAGATGGCCGGGAGATGGCCGGGAGATAGCCAAATGGCTGGAGATGGCCGGGAGATGGCCGGGAGATGGCCGAGAGCTTCGAGCCAGTACCCGAGGCTCGACCTTGAGGCCTCCGAGAGCAGTGGCACTCGCAGGCCCCGCTTCTACACACAGTCGGATGCGTGAGCAGGCTCGATCTCGCCGCGGAGCTCCGCGCGCGCGCGCCCCGCCTGCCCGCCTCTGCCACGTCTCGCTTCTGGTCTGCCCACCAGCGCTTCTTCCGGCTGCTCGTCACGGCGGCCAAGCTGCCGACTCTCTTTGGCGCGAGAGACCGCCGAGATGCACCGCCGAGATACAGCCGAGATACAGCCGAGATACAGCCGAGATACACCGCCGAGATACAGCAGAGATACAGCAGAGATACAGCCGAGATACAGCTGAAAGCTCGAGTCGCACGGCGGGGGGCCCCCCAGCCCCCCCCCACCACCAAACACACACACCCCCCCACGCCCCCCCCCACGCCCCCCCCCCCCCACACACACACACGCGCCCACGTGTCTCCTCCTCCGCAGGCGCGCCTCTCGGCAAAGGGCGTGCCAGCCGTCGAGCTCTCTGGGCGGCACGAGGCGGCGCCACTGCGGGCGGCCTCGCGGGAGCGCTTCCAGTCCGGCGAGGCGCGCGTGCCTAGAGAATGAAGGGGCGTGCCCTGCCCTTTCGCCACCGACTCGAGGAGACACATAGTTCGACGCGAGTCGTGCCAGTCCGTGGACCACGTGGCATGCTAGACCTGCATGCTATACCTGAGCCTCTGCCACACCGTAGGCGCGCGTCGCAGTCATTTCGGATGCGGCCTCGACGGGCGTCTCGCTGCACTGCCCGCCCGCCACCGAGGGCGTGCCCGTGCGGCCGCGCTTGCACGTCACGCTCGAGCTCAACTGGTCCGCCGATCGGCAGCTGCAGCAGCTCGGCCGGACGCACCGCACCGGCCAGGCCGTGCCGCCCGAACACATCCTCATCGTTACGGACGTCGGCGGCGAGCGCCGGTTCGTGTCGACGGTAGCGCGGCGCCTCCGCTCGCTCGGCGCGCTCTCGGGCGGTTCCGTCGGCGGCACCGGCGCTTGCCACAGCGCAACTTCTGCCACGGCCGCCGCCGCCGCTGGCGGCGGCGGCGACGCGGAGGGCGGCGGCGGTGCTTGCGACGGTGGCGCGGCGGGCGGCGGCGGCGGCGGCGGCGGCGGCTGCGGCGGCGGCGGCGGCGGGGCGGGCAGCGGCGGCGGGGCGGGCAGCGGTGGCGGCGGGGCGGGCGCCGCCGATGCGGGCGGCGGCGGAGGGTGGAGCGAGGTGTTGACGTCGATGGAGACCGCCGAGGGCTCAGCGGCGCTCGTCGCAATGTACACGGCGCTCGGCGTCGCCGCCGCGGAGAGTGCGGATGGCATTCCCGACGCGACGGCGCGCCGCGCGCTGCGCCGCTATCTTCGCTCTCGCGTGCGGGTTGGGGCGGGCGGCAACTGCACCGCTGTTAGGGACAAGGTCGTGGAGGCGGCGCCGGCGGCACGAGATGGCTAATTAAATAGTAACCCCCCTAATTAAACAGCTGTTTAATTAGGCGGCGCGAGCTCACTCGGCGCGGGCGGGCAGCGATACGGCGAGTAAGGCAGAGGTGGCGCGCGGCGGCGCGAGCGCGACCGGCGGCGGCGCGACGGTGGTGGCACCGTCGATGGCAGCGTCGCACCCGTGGCCGCGCGGCGGGTCTTCGCCTGACGTGATTGATTTGGACTGCAGCAGCGCCTCTGGCGAGGCGGGCGAGGCGACCCCGCTGTCTGACGGGGCGGGCGACGGCGCAGAGAGCGATACGAGCGGGGCGAGCGACGCGGAGGGGGAGGAGGCAAGCCCCACCCCACGGACAGAGATCACCAGAGTTCGCCCCGGACCGGGAGTGAGCGCGAGATTTGCCTGGCTCGACCGCCCCCCCCCCACGCGCGCGCGAGGGGATCTGTGCTGCGAACGGCGTCTTTTCACACCTCCAGCTGTGAACAGGAGGACGAGTGTGGTGAGGGGGACGGGGATGGCGGACTCGCCGACGGTACGCCCCCGCCCGTTGTGTGCGCGGACGAGGGCGCGGCGAAGGCAGCCCGGCGGCGGCTCTCGACGGCGTTGCGCCACTCCATCTGCCTGCTGCTCGCGGAGCACGCGACGCCTGCCGCTTCATCCGCCAGCCCCGGCTCGCGCCCCGCGTCGCCGCTTCCGCGTTCCAAGGCGGCTTCGGTGCCCCTCTTCCTCAACCGCCTCCTCGGGTTGCCGGTAGCCGACCAGGCGGCGCTGCTGGCGCTCTACACTTTCTTCTGGCGGCGCGCAGTGGTGGCGGCGCGGCGCAACGGCCGCATCGACGAGGGGATCCGTTGGCACGTTGCCGGGGGCGCCGGGGCCGACGGCGCCACGGCACCCGGCGCCGCGACGGGGGCGACTGCTGCGGCAGTTGCGGCTGCCGCTCCCACCCCTTGCTGGTACGACGCGGCTCCGACGCCGGTGATTGCGCTCCGGGCTCACCCCATCCTTTGGGCCGTGACGGCGGAGCGGGCGGCGCCTCCGCCGCCCCTCGGCAACACGCAGCGTCAGTCCCCCCCGCCGGGCGCGTCCCCCGGCGTCGACGGCGACGCGGACACCGACGAGCGAGGCAGCGGCGCGGACGGCGGCCGTCGGGGCGGCGGCGGCTGTGGGAGCGACCACGGGGGTGGGGGCGCCGCGGGCGAGGAGGGAGGGCCCCTCCCCGGCCGCCTCGCGCTCCTCGAGCTGCGCGAGTGCCCGCATGGGGTCGTCGCCTTTGACACGGCCGCCGCGGCTGTCCGAGCTGACGCGCAGCGCGCCACTGCTTCGGCCGCCACGGCGCTCGCTTGCACCGCCGCAAAGGCCGCAACGGCTGCCACGTCGGCTGCCACGTCGGCTGCCACGTCCGCAGCAGTTGCCCCTGTGCCGGCGGCCGCAGGGGGAGGGGCAGGGGCAGGGGAGGGCGAGCTTTTCTTGGGCTTCTACCTGCTACGCGGCGCAGCAGCAGGCTCGGGTCGCCGCGGCCCGCTGCCGCGCTCTTGCGCGCCCTTGGAGGGGGCGCCGGTCGTCTGCTTGCGGCCGGCGGCGGGCGGTGCGCCAGGCGTCGCACAAACCTATTGCGTGCTCTCCCCGAGCGGCGCGCACGCGCCATGCGTCGAGGCGGCGGACGCGCGGCGGGCGCTGGTCCCCGTGTCTGCGTCTGAGGCCGAGCCGCTCTGGCGCGCCGCCACCTTCTCGGCGGCGGCGACGGCGGCCGGCAGCGCGCCAGCCCGCTGGATGCTCGTCGGTGCTGTGTTGCGCGTCTTGCCGCGTGTGCGCCAGCTCTCCGCCGCCATTGCGAGCGGGGAGAAGGGCGCAGGCGGCGCGGCGGGCGCCGCCGGCGCCGGCAGCCGCCGTTTGAGCGTGAAGCGCGTGGTGCTCGCGTCGGGCCACGTCGCCGTCGGATTGTGGCTCGACTCGGCGCTCGCCGCCGCCACTCTCCGCGCCGAGCGCCCCGAGACGCCGATGGAGTCGTCCGACCTCGACGAGGCGGCGACGCCGGTGGGAGGCGAGGCGAGCGGCCCCGAGGGGCAGCAGCGGTGGAGTTTGGCCCTGGAAGAGGCGCTCGCGACGCAGCGGGCGTTGCAGGCGGCGCTGCCGGCGCACGACGATGAGGCGGCGTGGCACGAGTGTTGGGCCAAGATCAAGGCGCACGAGGTTGCCGGGCTGGACGATGAGGAGCTGCAGCAGCGGCGCGAGCGGCAGGCGGACCTCGCCTCCTTCCGAGTGCAGTTGGAGCAGCGCAAGGCGGCCAAGGCGGCGGACCAGGCCCGTGCCGCCTCCGGCCGCCGTCTCGCCTCCCTCGCCGCGCTCGCGACCGCCGCGGGCGCGCCGAGCCCCGCCGCGGGCGTTGGCCCTCCCGCCGTCCCCGAAGCGGCGGCCGCCGCAATGATAGCGGCCGCAGCGAATTCGGCGGTCGCTGCGAAGCCGGCGGTCGCCGCGAAGCCGGCGGCGGGTGGAAAGCGCGAGCGCCAGGGCTCCACCGGAGGGTGCGCGCCGGCGCGGCTCCCGGGCGGGGCTGACGACGCGTCTTCCGGCGGGGCGGCGTGCGGCGCGACCGCGCCCAAGCGCGGCCGTTTCGCGCCGGCGGTGCGGTCGGCCCGCACTTCGGCAGCCGCATTGCGCCAGAAGAACAATTCGCAGCTGCACCCGCTGCTCCGCAACGCCACCGACAATGCGGCAGCGGGGGCAACTTCGCTTCACGGCGCCTCGCCGCCCGGCGCCTCGCCGCCCGGCTCCTAGGGCTGGCGTGGGCATCGCCATTCCGCCGCGCGCTTGACGCACGCGGCAATGGCGGTCACACGAACATGGTTTTGGTCAGAAAGGGAAGGACGAGAAGCGATTGGCGGTTCGGACGCCGCATTTGTGTGCAATGGTTCCGGGTTTCTTTCCTGCTGCAGTGCAGGCGTGGATTATTCGTGCAGGGAGTTGGGGGTCGATCAGATGCGATATTGAGAGAGAGCGGGGCGTGGGAACGGTCCTAAAATATCCTCTATTCTTGTCCACCTCACACAAAAAGGTCAGGACAAGGTGAAAACCATCTCAACACTTTTGACCTCTTACGGTCTTACGGCTCTTTACGTATAGACTTTACCACCGTGTATACACTTTAGCCTTATTTAGGTCTTCTCTCTAAGCTCTTTTCCTCGCAGGTACTGGCACTCCCCCTGCCCAACTCCGGGAGCGCGTGGTACTGGTTGCTCTCTGCCGCTAGACAGCCCTCTCCACCACCCCACAGCTCGCAGCTCACACTTTCGCAGCTCTCATGTCGCCGCTCGCCACCAGCTCGGCTCAAACCGGCTTAGCAGGTCAACGGTGAGGTGCGCAGCGTTGGGGGCGTAGAGGGCCTCCCCGCCCGGCCGAGCCTCGAACCGCCACCACAGCGCCATGCTTTCCCCTTTGGGCTCCGACTCGGGCGCTGCCGCCGCCTCCCCTCCCCCCCTCCTGCTGCCGCTGCCGCCACTGCAGCTCATACGACCGCGCCAAGTACGCACCGGCGCCTGTGGCGGAGGCGCGCGGTGCGCGAGCACGCTCCACACGCGCGTGGGCGACGGGCGGGTCATGTAGCTCCTGCTCCTGGACGGCGCGTTGCGCTTGCCACTCAGGCGCAGAGAGCCGGCCGCGAAGTCCACGACGGCCTCGTGCTGGGCCGGCTGCAGGCCGTACTTTTGGGCGTCGGCGGCCGGATCGACGAGGGCGTGGATGCAGATGCACCCGTCGGCGCGCATCGTCACAAAGACCGAGACCACGACTTCGTACGCGTCGAGCGAGCGCAGGATGTTGTGCAGCGTGCGCGGGACGGCGCCGGTGCGAAGCGGCCGCACGACTGCAGCGAGGGGCACGCACGCGGCGCGGACGGGTCCGTAGGCGTCGGCTTGAAGCCGGTCGGGCGGCGGCAGGGCGAGTGCCCCCTCGACGAGCGCGAGCAGCGCCCGCGTCGTCTTGACAGTCATCCTGTCGCACAAGTTCGTCTCGCCGAGCCAGATGCAGAGCGGCGTGTCGCACACGCCGCGGCGGCGCGAGGGGAACGGCGGCGCGTCCAACGCGATGCTGGGCACGCCGTCCGAGCGAAGGAGCGCCGCGAGCGAAGTGAGCAGCCCCTCAAGCCTCTCTTCGTCCGACTTGGCGTCCCACCGCGCATCGAGCTGCCACAGCATGGTCCCCGCCACCGTCCACCCGATGCCGGGCGGCTGGCTGAGTGTGTGCGCCTTGCAGCCCGCCGCCTCGGCCCACGCGTGAAGCAGCGCAATCGACGCGCGGCAGCGGTGGCACGTGCCAGCGATGAGTCGGTCGGTGTGGAGGAGCGCCGCTCTCGTCTTGCCCTGAGAAGGAAGGGGGGGGAGGGGGGGGAGCTTGCAAGAATGGTACGTAGGGGCTGGCTGACCCTCGACGGCCATCACGGGATATCTCGGCTCGTCTCGGCTCATCTCGGCTCATCTCGGCCGACCTCGGCCGGCGTTGACGCTCGCGTCTCGCCGCGCCACACCTGCGCGTCGATGGCGTGGCCTTCAAAGTCGCCGTGCAAGCTCACCACTCGCTGGCCGGTGATGGCGTCCGCGCCGACCGCGCGCCACCCCGTCCTTGCGGCCACCGACGCGTACGCGTCTGCGAGCGATGCCGCAGCCGGCACCTCCAGCACCAGGTCGACGTCTCGGCCGCTGAAGAAGAGGCTTGAGCCGATCAACCGGCAGGGCCAGCCGAAGCGTGACTGGACGCGGCTCGCGATAGCGAGGCCCTCCGTCGGCGGCGGGGGTGGCGGCGGCGGCGGCAGGCGGGCGGATGGCTCGCCGGGCGGTGCGGTGCCGCCCTCATGCGCCCCGTCTGCTTGCGGCTCTGCCGCCCTCGCGCCTTCCCCCGCGGCGGCTGCGGCGCCGGCAGCGGAGGCTGCGGCGCGGTGCGCCTTGAGTGCCCTCGCCGCCGCCTTGGCTTCTGCGGCGCGCTTGGCCGTCTCCTCGCCCGCCAGCAGCTCCGCAGCCGCCCGGTCGGACGCTGCGACGGCCCTCGCCCATGCCTCCGAGGCGTCTCCCGCCTCCTCTGCCGCGGCACCCTCGCCGCGCGGCGCCTCCGACGCGTCTGGCTGGCTCCTGCAATCTGCCGCGGGGCCGCCCTCGTGCAACGCTGGAGGGGTCGGAGGCGGAGCCGGTGCTGACGGTGGCGGCAGAGCCGCCGGGGGAGCTACTGCGGAGGGTGTGCCCGCAGCCGCCAGCGCGCCGTCCCAGACGCTCGCCCAGGCCCGATGAGACGACGCACAAAGCGCCGCGAGCGCGCTGGCGGCTGCGGGCTGGATCCACAGCTGCACCGTGGGAAGCTTGAGGCGGCAGCTACTCGTTCGGCGCCGGCACCAGCGCCTGTCCACGATTTCACAGAGCCGCGTGCTCAATCCAAAGAAGACAGCGACGTAGATGACTTCTGGCGTCGGAACGATATGCCCGAAGAAGGATGCGGTGGTGACGAGCCCGCCGCCAGTCCTCGCCACTACTTGGTGCCAAACCGCGCTGGCGGGAGGCCCGTTGACAAGATGGAGGACGGCAACAACCAGGGCGAGGAGAAGGAGGAGAGAGATACTGTCCCGCTGCGGCCACGATCCGCAGCCGAGAGTTCGGTCGATCACGAGGCATGTGAGGAAAGAAGCTACGCCCGCCGCGGCGCACAGCGTTGCCATCGACTGAGTGCGCAAATACGAACCTAATTTTCACGCCGCGGGATGTGTGATCTGTAAGGGTCCGCCCGCAGGCGCATTTTGTATACCGAGGCGGTGCCCGGTGCCGAGCGCAGGCCGGAGCCCACAGGTCGGACCTTAAGACAGCGTTGTAGATCCCTGGGCGAGGGTGGTGGAGGGGGCGGTCCGTCGGCGCCAAACCACCTCCCACCGAGGTGGGCAGGTTCCACGCGTTCCCGGACCGCCCCGTTGGAGGTAGACCGCTCGTCTAGCCAATCAGCCTTAAGCGAGCGGCCTGGCCGTTGGAATGGCCGAGTAGGGGAGGACGACTGTCCCTGACGGCGAACCTCAGTTACGAGCCGCCCTCCCCTCGAGACGCGAGGCCAGCGCACTTGGGGCCGAGCCCCAGCGTGCACCGCCCCACACGCCTCACGCGGCCTCTGGCTGGAGCGGGATCGCAAGCGAGTCCCCCTGGCCGGCACGCGTCTTCCGAGAGAGGAGCGGGAGCGAGGGACCTTCTTAGTTGTCCGGCATGCAGACGCATGCACGGCCGTTCAGAAACTTTCCCAGCCGTTGGAATGGCTGCTCTCCCGCCCCTCGCTGGGACGAACGGGTAGTAGGCGTTGGCGCCGAGAAGAGGTAGGAGTCGCCGAAGGACGGGTAGTCGTCGGTCATGCGGGGGGAGGAGGAGTCGGCGAGCAGCAGGGGGGGAGAAATGCCTGAGAGGGTGGGGAGGGAGGCGTGAGGCGCGAGGTGAGGGGGCGCGGGGCGCGGGGCGTGCGTGGGACGCGCGGCGTGAGGCGCAGGGCGTGAGGCGGGAGGCGCGGGGCGCTCGAGGTTGGGGCAGAGTGTGTTTTTTGTGTGTCTGTATGTGTGTCTGTATGTGTCTGTGTGTGTGTGTGTGTGTGTGTGTGTGTGTGTGTGTGTGTGTGTGTGTGTGTGTGTGTGTGTGTGTGTGTTGGTTTGTTTGTGCGAGGGCTGGGCGGGGCAGGGCAGGGCGGCGGCGAGCGGCGAGCGGCGTCGGCGAGATCGGCGACGTAGAGAGGCGATGGTGACGTACACGGCGGGAGTGTTCACGGCAGCAGCGCCGACGGCGGCCCCGCGCAGCGGCGGCGGCGCCCTGAGTGAGGCAGATTGCCCTGCACAGCCTGCTGGGCACGCTCCCGACGAGCGGCGCGCCATGCGGGCCCGCCGCGGGCGACGCGGGCGGCGAGCCGACACGCGTGTCACAGGCGTAGACAGCACTGGCGAAGCGAGGCGGCCGGCGCCGGCCCCGGAGGCGGCTGCAGTAAGAGCAGCGAGGCAGAAGTCACTGTCCAAGGCGTACTGAGCAGGCTGCCATCGAGCAGCGCGCCATGCGGGCCTGCCGTCGGCGACATCTTGGAGAGCCGACAGGCATCGAAGAGGTAGGTACTGAGGAGGGCCATCGCGCCCGAGGCGGTCCGCGCCGGCCCTGCAGGCCGTCTCAGAGAGCCTGGCGAGGCTGTACAGAATGCCAAGAGCATACTGGGCAGGCTGCCGTCGAGCGACGAGCCATGCTGGCTCGTCGCAGGCGATGAGGTCGAGGAGCCGATCGGAGCGTCGCAGAGGCTGCCGACCACTGCCGTTCGCCCTCGGGCCCAGGGGTGGAAGGCAAGCTTCCTGGCGTTTCTGGCGAGCGTCCAGACGTCGCAGAGCATCCGGCAGGCGCGCAGCGACCCAAATTTTTGCTCACCGCACGGCCGTGCGAGCCGTCGGTCGGTGGTGATGGTCGGCGTCGGCGCGCGCCGACCGACGCGGCGGCGGTGGGCGTCATGTGGCGCGTTTTGGGACCAGACATTGTCCGAATTGCGGCGGACGTCCCTTCATAACTCGATGCGGTTAGTCAATATGGGCGAGGGGTATACACGATATGCGAGATAACTTCCTAAGCCTAGCCACGGACGTTCGGCAATGCATGCTCAGCCTACTCCTGATGTGCGCATTTCGGCCCGTTGGCGTTGTGGTTGGTCGAAAAGCCCGGGCACCCGTGCGGGTTTGCGGCCGTCTCGCACAGCTCTCCCCGCGCGGCCCTCGCGCCAAACGGCAGGCCGCCAGGCTCAGTCTGCCGCGCTGCAGGCGTCAGCGGCCTTGGCTCGAGGCCTTCGAGCCACCGACGGTTGACGTAAGAGATGCTCATGTGCGGGAAGCGCCCAGAGACACGGTCCCACGTACAGCCGGCTTCCGCTTCGTCCCACGTGTGTGCACCGCGGGCTTGCACGAAGCGCTCGACCACCACGAAATGCTCCCGCAGAGCCTCGAGCACCGGCAGCATCTGCGCCGCCGGCCGCAGGTAGTGTGGCCGTATTCGTCCGTGCGCGTATGGGATGCTTCTGTTCTTTTTGCAAAAGTGCAGCTCGATGTCGAGGAGCCGCAGCTGCCGGAACTGAGTCGCATTCATCTCGCGTAGCGCCTCCCACTCGCTGCCCTCAATGTCCAGCTTGGCTGCCAGCGCATGTGGAGGCGCGGCGCCCACATACGCGGCCTCCAGAGCAGATGCCCAGCCGACAAACCGAGGACGAGGAGGCCGGGAGACTCCCAGGCAGCTGTCAAGGCGCAACGGTGGCACCGCAAAGCGTTGGAGCTCTGCCGCAAAGGCACTGCTGGGCGAGAAGCAGTCGAATAGCACAGAGTACACGCCAAACCACTGGCTCAGCATGACGGACCATTCGTCGCACGTGCTAATCCCAAACGAGAGGCCGGTCAGCACACCGGGAGGTTCGAGAGCTCGGCGACACCAAGCGTACGCAGAACCTGTGCCTCGGCTCGCCTGCTTGATGAAGCCGCCGCAAAGCCGCTCCGCACCAGACGATGGCTCGGTGAGATCACGGATGCGGACGCCGGTGGAGTCCAAGCGCGGCCCTCGACTGGGCATTCGTAATTGTTTCTAGTAAATGACTTGTGCCGTACGCGGTACGGGTACGGGGAACTACGAAAGTGTGAACAGGTTGGAGGGCGCCGCGCCGCGCCGCGCACGTGCGACTGTCAGGAGCGGATCCGTCTCAGTTAGTCGTGTTCACGCGCCGGCATCGTGTCCTGACCAACCTGCCTGGTACAGACTTTAGTCCTCGACAGTACGCGGTATGTGCTGAAATGGGAATCACGTGAGCCACGACGACTAGTATAGCGTGGTAGTGCGACGCCCCAGGGAGCTCCGCCGCGCGCCGGCGGCGCGGCCCGTACTATCGCGCTACTAACGTGGGGGCGGAGTCGTACACGGCTCAATCAGACAAAAGGCGAACGTACTTCTCCTTCCCTCCTCGCTCCCGATGGTTCGGGGACGTGGAGTGGACGTACGCATGAATGGACACGAGCGAGGGGCTAGCGACCGAGCGGTGTGTCGCCACCGAACCGAGGGAAGCGAGTGACGCGGAGCTGCCGTGGTTGGCTTTGCGGCGGTCCGCGGACGAGGCGATCGAGTAGTGGAACGAGGCGATGGAAGGGCTCTTGACGGGGCCGCGATGCGTCGCCACCGATCGGAGCGAGCGGAGCGAGGCGAGGGACGCGGAGCTTCTGAGCCGCCGCCCCCTCCGCCGCCGGCACCTCCGCAAGGCGCCGAGGCAAGCCACCGAGAGCGAAATGGCGACCGCCCCGCACAGCAGCGCCAAGCCGGTCGGCGAGATGTACGGGCAAGCGGCGCGCAGTTCGAGCGCTCCAGCGCGCGGGAGGTCCGAGAGCGGTGGGCGCGGCGGCGGCGGCTGGGTCACTCGACGCGCCGCCGCCGCCGCCGGCACCGTCGACGCCGCCGCCGAGCGAAGCGCCGCGAGAGTGGGCGCGTCCGGGTCGCCCCCAAAGTGGCGTGTGAGGTCCGGGTAGCGGTACGAGGACGCGGAGCCGTCTGGGAGGCGGTTCGGGACCGCGTCGAGCGCCTGCACGAGCGACCACTGTGGCGACTGTCCGATCTTCACGTGCCCGCCGAGGTGGTCGTGCTCCGCCATGTCGGCAGCGGCGTCCATCTGCAGCGTCCAGAAAAAGTGGCCAAACGCGGCTGCGAAGGAGGCGAAGAGGGTGTCGACGAAGCGCTGGCTCACCTTGAGGCCCATCTCGTCGACGGCAAGGGACCACTCGCCGACGACCACTGGATGGTGCCGGGCGTGCTGCAGGAGGCGGCAGCCAAAGGTGCGAGCCGCCTGCACCACCGTCTCGTCTGGCGTCGCCTCCGACAGCCCGTCAAAGGCCGTGTACAAGTGCAGGTCGATGAAGACGTTGTGGAACTGCGGCTCGCGCAGCTGCGTCACCCACCCCCACAAGTCAAACCAGTAGAGGACGCAAAAAACGACCGCGACGTCGGCGCGCCGGCGCCGCACGAGGGAGTAAGCAGCCTCGTAGTACTCGATGAGCAGTGGCCGCATCTCGTCCTCGCGCGGCGCCGAACTGAGATCGCCGGGCTCGTTGAGCAGCTCGACGCCCCACAGCGCGGGGTGCTCGCCCACCTCGTCCATCAGCCGTCGCAACTGCAGCGGGTCACAAGGCGAGGAGGGTGTTCCATGGTGACTACGCAGCGCGGCGTCGGCGCCCGCGTCTAGCAAGCGCGCCACGGCGAGCGAATTGTCGATCGAGTAGCGGTGCCACTCGGCGCGGCCGGCACAGCCCGAGTGCTCCTTCCCATTCTGCCCGCCGGGCGCGCCGTGCAAATCGAGGAGCACGACGACCCCCCTCGCCTGCAGATGAGGATCCGGGCGGGTGGACGGCCACCGGCCCAGTCGAGCACAAAAGCGGCGCGGCTTGACACCCCTCGAGAAGGGTACTGCATGGCTCTCGGAAGGATCTAGGAAGCGGCGCCTCGGCCCAGTCGAGAAGGCGCCGGATGGCGCGGAGGGCGGGAGCTGGGCCCGGCGCCATCTCACCCCATGCGGCGCCGCTGCCCGGGTTCGGCAATTCGTGCGGGCGGAGGACGTCCCACCAGCCGAGCGGCAAACGGACGGCGTTGATGCCTTTGCCGACCATCCAGTCGAAGTGCTCCTCACCGATCCAGCCGTCGATGTGCGCCTCCATGCGCTGCCAGAAGGAGGCGTTGCTGCCGCGCGGCAGCTCGCACAAGGACGCGCGCGACGCGACCGTCGTGAAATCCTTCTCGGGGATGAGCCAGCCTACGCTCACAAACGCGCGCCACGTGTCAAGACGCGCCACGGCGGCCGCGGCGGCGAAGGGTGAGGCGATCCCCCGAGGTTTGCCCCTCGCAACGGCTCGACCTCCTCCACCGCAAAGACGGCGGGCTTGCTCTCAAGCTCGGCGCTGCCCGTGTAGCCCGAGAGGCGGAGCGCGCCCGAGCGCGAATCGACCGCCACATGCCGCCCCCCGCCCATCCAGTCGTCGGTGCCGCCGACGCCGCGCCGTCCTGGGGCGCGCATCCGGACATAGCCGAGGCGCCGCGTCCGCGCGCATCCCCCGCCGCGCGCGCCTCCTGTCGGCTCCGCCGCCTCGCTCGGCGGCGGCGGCACCACCTCCACCGCGAGCGCGGAGGCGAGTCCTGAGCGATGGCCGGTGGCGGCGAGAGTTCCGACAAACCAGCCGCGGTGGCCGCCTGCCGCGCTCAGCGCTGGGAGACGCCACGAGACCGACACGAAGCCTGCGGCGACACGGCGAGGCGGGAGGCGGGCGAGGACGGGCTGTGAGAGGAGCAGGGCGCGTAGGGGCGGGGTGGGGCGGGGCGGGGGCGGGGGAGGGGAGGTGGTGGGGGGGGGGGGGCCCTGCGCGTCCTCCGCACGACTGAGAAGCTCCCACCGCCTCGACTGAGAAGCTCCCGCCGCCGGATCGTGCTCCAGTCCACCCGACCATCCGCCGCGGCCGCCACCGCCTCGGCCGCCGCCGTGCCGGTCCGAGCGGGCCGCCTCTGGCGCGGCGCCGCCCGCGTCGTACAGCTCGAGCGTGCCGCCGTGGATCCATGGCAGCAGAGTGTCAGCGACCTACGTGCGACCGCGCCCGTAACGACATGATCACGCGGCCTGAAGTCGCAGCGTGACCAAGTGGCTCCCCATCCCGCCAAACGCACGTGGTCGCATTCCGCATCTAGAGCGGCGACAAGCTCACCGCGGAGCGGCGGGTCCCGATCGTGGGGCGGGCCGTCAAAGCTGCTGCGGGCAGCCTCCTCTCGCGCTGAGACCACCCGCACGTAACGGCCGCTCGCCTGAGGGGCGTGCAGGGAGGCGCGTCTCTCGTCGCGGCATCACGCGGTTGCATCTGTGTTGCATCTGTGTTGCATCTGTGCTGCATCTGTGTTGCATCTGTGCTGCATCTGTGCGGCATCTGGGCGGCATCTGGGCGGCGTCTCGGCTACACATTGCCACGTCTCGCAGCACCACGCGGCGTCCGGCCGCGCGGCGTGGCGCTCCGACGTCGACCGAGGGGCACTGGCCGTGCTTGAGAGCGCTGAGGAGGTCAACGAGCAGACAGACGTACCTGCGTGCGTGAGGGATGTGTCGGGGCGCGCGCACGTTTGGCCGAGGCGACGGCCGTGCGCGCTTACCCCTGGACCGGCCCCGGCTGCCAAAGCTGATGCGCCGTCCACGAGGCGGACGCCGCGATCGCGTCCGACGAGCGCCGGCCAAGAGTCACAACGGCGGCGGGCTGGCCGACCAGCAGTAGGCCGCCGCCGCAGAAGAGCATCAGTAGCACGAGGAGGCTGATCTTACTGCGGGCCTCCTGCGCCTCACGCGCCTCGTCCGCCTCTGCGCTGCGCTGCAAAAATGTCGTCGCGCTCGCGCCGCGAATCAGATTCAGCCGCTCTGGCTCTGACAGGTTCCGCTCTCGCGCGGACAACGAGCTCGAATGCTTACGAGGCCGTCCAAGGCGCGAGCCGGCGCCCGCCGTTCGCACGTCCTGGTGGCTCTCAAAGGGCCGTCGCGCCGGGCTCTCCGCCGCCATTGCCGTCGGTAGCGAGAGTGACCGTCCCTGCAGCGCCGGCGACTCTGTTGCTGCGGTGGGCCGGGCCGGCAGCGCTGGCTGCTGTCTGCTGGTGTCGAGCGAGCATGCCGGGCTCATGCCGTCCGCAAGCACGTCGACGAGTTCGAAGAGGAGCTCATCCTCCTCTGTGATGAGCGGCGTCGCAGGGAGCCAGTGTTGTGACATGGGCAGCGGCAGCCTCAGTCGTCAGGGCGACACCGCGGCCCCCTGGGGACTTCCGGCTCGGGTGTGACCTCTGACCGCGGGTCGCAGAGCGGTCACGGTGTCCGACAGCAGCTCGACCCGAGCAAGCGATGACGAAGAACGAGATAGAGTTGAGATAAAGAATTTTCGCCGACGGGCCTTAGATCTAGGCGGGTGGCGGCGCGCCGTCCTCCCATCCGTCCCTTGAGTTCGATATTGGTTCTTTTTACTCTGCTGACGATGGAGATGAGACCGCCAGTGGAGTAGGGAGTCTTCCACTGAGCACCGCGCTGCGAGCCAGTGGGACAAACTTCAGAATCGTGCTGTTTGTTGGGTTGGGTTGGGTTGTGCCTGGGTTGTGTTGTTTTTGGTTGTCGGCGCGAAGGGTGAGGGCTCGACCGCCGCCACTCACGCCAGCGGACGGCCACCATCGGTGTTTTTGGCTTCGCCGCCGTCCAAGGCGTACGCCATGCGCTCGCCGACATCGAGCGAGCACGCCTGTCCGACGAGCGGCTTGCTGTGCGGACGCCTTCTTGTGGCTCTCGTCGAGAGCGTCTTGCGTCATTCTCGATCTCGCACTCACCACCAGCTGTCCGACGGCGGAGGCTCGATCTTCGTCTCCTTTAGGAAAGCGTCGAGCGGCATCATGATCGCCGCGAACGTCTTCCACACCGCCGGCATGTCGGCCTCGACCTTGGCGGGGTCGCCGAGCGCCTTGGTGAACTCGGCGCGGTATGGGATCGTGTGGTACGCCTGCGGCGCAAGCGGGGGCAGCGGGGTGAGGCGGTGGGACGCGTGTCGCGTGGTCGGTCGGGCGTGACTTCAAAGGCGCACCGTGTTGAAGACGCCCTTCATGATCATGTTGTGGTGCATCTTGAGCCCCTTCTCGTAGCCCTTGTTGACGCAGTCGGCGAGCTCCGCCTTCGCGTCGGCGACGAGCGCCTCGAGCATCCCTTCCACCAGCAGCAACGCGCGCTTGAGCCAGAGGATCGCCAGGCACGTCGAGCCCTCGACCGCCGCCGCCGCCGCGCCCTTGGCGGCGCCGAGCTCGGCGCGGCACATCGACTGCAGCGTCGCCGTCGGCTGCGCGTCGGCGGGGAGCTTGAGCAGGTTCGCCTCGATCTTCGCGCGGTTGCCGTCGATGTCGTCCTTCACCATCCCCATCCCGTAGATGCTGTCGAAGATCTTGATCAGCTGCACGGTGGCGTCGAGGAAGAGCTTGCACGGCACCTGCTGCCCGCTCGCGAAGGCGTCCGACTCGGCGACCGCCGCCCACTTCGGCAGCGTCTCCTCGAAGAAGCTCATCAGCGACGGGTCGCGCGGCTTGAGCTTTGCACAGAGCGGCGGCGACGGCGTGAAACAAGAAAAGCGCCCGCATTCAACCAGGCAGGACAAACACAACACAAGCCAACAGGTCACAATGAAACTCTCTCTCGAACAAAAGAATTGACGCGTGATGAGCCTGGACATTCGCAGGCCCCGGTGAATGAAACGAACGCCTCAATCACAGTCTCCCCGACCGAGGACAAGGAACTCCGAGACGGGGGACTAAGCAAGTGCCTGTGTATGTGCGTGGTGTACAGTGTCGTGTCCGCTAGCTCCGAGTGGAGGGGGCGTCCTGCACCCCGGCGACTTTTACCACTTTGTTCGTCGTGCATCGCCTCTTGATAGGGTGCCCACAGGGCCCAAAAAAAGAAAGGAAAAAAGAAATGGGTGACCCCCGATCGCAGCACTTCGTGTTGGCCAGTCGAGAAATTGAGAGTGTGACTAGGAGGGTGGGACGCTGGGGATTCTCAAAGGTATACCCTTGGAATGGCCGGATCCAGCCTTAAAAGTACGAGATCGCGCGCGCTTCGCACGCTGCACCGCCTAGGCGGCGGCGGCAGAGAAGCAGCGGCGGCTGGAGTCGGCCGCACGGGAGCAGGACGCGGAGCTCCGCGCCGCGGCGGACGACCGGCAGAAGCTGCTGCACGAGATTGCCCTCTTGCGGAGCGAGGCTGAGGGGATGAGGATCGACGTCACGGCGGCGCGAGAGGAGGCGGAGCGGGTGAGGCACGACGCGGAGCTCAAGATGACACAGGTGCGCCTGTCGGCCACTGCCATCGACGACGAGCGGCGCCGGCTGGAGCTAGAAGTGCAAAAGGCACAGCGCGGCGGCGTGGAGGCGAAGAAGCGGTGCAAGGAGCAGGCGAGCGAGCTCAGCAGCGGATTCCGAGCCGTGAAGACGACGGTTTGTTCACACTTGTTCCCAGCGAATAGGCGACCGAGCTCACCTCCCTGTACGCGGAGATTGACCGGCTGAAGGACCACATCGGCTGGCTCACCAAACAGACGAGGGCGAAATCGACCCACGCCTCGAGGGGCTGGAGGGTGGCAGAGAGCCCCGATTGGCAAAACACGCCGCCGCGCTCGCCCTCCCCGCCACCAAGTGCAAATTCCGGCCAGAACGGGACAGAGCCCCGCAACAACGGCGTGGAGCCCCGGATCGGCGTGCGGGCAAGCAGTAGACCCGCCTCGAGGTCTGCGACTCCGCCCCGGCGCTACGTGAGCCCGCCTCGCCAGCGCGGAACTTCGCCGCCGCCTTGGATCCCCACCGGCGTCAAAGACACGATCTCGAACGTCGAGTGGGTGAAGCCGGTCCTGACTTGAAGGGGGTGGAGGGTGGACGGGCAGTAGCCGTCGACATGCTGAGAGGATGGGCGGCCGGGGTGAAAAAGACGGTACTGCAGGTCACTTGTGTCCCTGCAGCTGCATGGAGGGTCGCACAGAGTTTTGATCTCTCACCCCGGACTCTGTGGCGCGTCCCATGTCCCAATTGATGGCCCAACATATTTACGGACGCGACTCGTTGATATAACAGAACACTGACATGCATGTGTGCGTGTGACGTAAAATGATGTCCACATTATCCAGATAGAGGAGAGAACCTGCGGCAATCCCCTCGAGGGTTTCGTTCTGCGTGCGCGTGATATGCAAAAACGCTCAGCTGGCCTCCGCTGCGGCCTGCACCGCCGCACGCGTCAGAGCCTCCACCGCCGCCCAGTCCCGCTTGGCCACCGCCTCTGCCGGCACGAGCCATGTCCCTCCGGCGGCAAACACACCTGGCAGCGAGAGGTACGAGGGCAAATTCGCCTGTGTCACGCCGCCGGTCGGCATGAACCGCACGTCCTTGTATGGCCCGCCGAGCGCCTTGAGCGCCGCCGCGCCGCCGCTCGCCTTGGCCGGAAGAGCGTACCGTGAGAGGGAGGGGAATGTGCGACTCTGGGACTCTCACAGTGGACGGAGAATCGGGGCGAGTGCCGGAAATGTACATCTCGGCAGCGGCAGATCTCGCCTCGGCCGGGAAGAACTTGAGGTGTGTCAGCCCGAGCTCGAGCGCGGCCTCGATCTCGCTCGCTGTGGCGCACCCCGGCACGATTGGCACACCGCGCTGCGTCGCCCATTCGACGACGCGCGGGTTGGTGCCTGGGGAGATGTGGGGAGATGTGGGGAGATGTGGGGAGAGATGGCGAGATCACCGCATCTAGCACTCGATGTATGGTGAGATGTGGTGAGATGTGTGGAGATCGCCGCGGTGCCTGGCGAGACGAGGAACGACGCGCCGGCGGCGACGGCCTGCTCGGCCTGCTCTGCCGAGAGGACCGTGCCTGCCCCCACCGCCATCTCGGGCACCTTCGATGCGATCAGCCGGAGGGCCTGCATCGCGGACGGCGTGCGCAAGACCAGCTCCATCACGTCGACCCCTCCCCGCAGCAGCGCGCGAGCGACCGGCTCCGCGGCTTCCGGCGAAGCGAGCGAGACGACCGGAACCAGCCGCGTGCGACCAAACCGCTCGAAAACCGACGCCGCCGCCGCGTGGAAGGGCGCGAACCGCTGCGGCGGCGCCGCGCCCGACGCCCCCTCCCCGCCCCCACCGGCCACCACGCCGCCGCCGCCGGCCCCGCTCGCGTTCAGCTGCGCCGTCACGCCCGCCCACCTCGCCTCCGCCGCCCTCAGCGCCCCGCCGCTCACGTCGGACAGGTCGCCGAATCGAGCCATCGACAGCGCCGCGAGCAGGTCGCCTCGGCGGCAGGCGCGGGCGATCGCCGCCCGAGAGCTGGCCGCCTCGCCCCTCCAGCCCTCCCCCGCGTCGAGGAGGCCGTGGAGGAAGCCAGCCACCCACGCGTCCCCCCCTCCCAGCGCCTCGCGCGGCCGGTGGACCTGAGAGGTGCATCACAGCCAGGGGTGCGAGGCTACTGCGTACAGGGAATACGCCGCAAGCTGTCCGTTCTCGACTGTCCGTCTACGGCGGCAGCACCGTCGACTACGAGTGCTGGTTCCATCTGTGTTCCGCATCTGTGTTCCGCAGACCACGGGCGTGTCGCCCGTCGACACCTCGCCCGCCGCCGTCGCCACAACCGACCAGCGCACCACGCCGCCGCCGCCGAAGAGCGTGTTCTTGTGTTCTTGAGTGTCCTTGAGCCCGCCGCTCGCCGCCTCGCGTGGCGCGGCGGCCCGCTTGAAGCAGCAGCCGAGCAGAGGGACGCCCCACCTAGAAGGTTCCTAGACGGTTCCTAGACGGTTCCTAGACGGTTCCTAGAAGGTTCCTAGAAGAGCAGAGGGACGCCCCACCTCTGGCGAAGGGACGAGAGCGCGGCCGCCTGCGAAGCATGTTCCGCCCCTTCCCCAGGCCAGACGCCCTCCCGCTCCGCGAGCCTGCAGAAGCAAGGAGTCCACGAATGTCGGGGCGACGGATCTCGTCATCTCTCGGCGCATCGCGTCGCATCTCAGCGCATCTCGGCGCATCTCGCAGCCTGCGCAGCGAGTCCTCCGAGAGCATCAGCAGAGTGACGGCCCGCGCGGCGACGTGTGGCTGCACGAGCGCCCACAGCTCCTCGAGCGAGCCTGCTCACGGGTGCGCTGTGGGTGGCGCCCCTTCACACCTCGGAGCGGCGCGCTTCGCGAGCCGAGCGCGGGGCGGTGATTAAAGTCGAGGCTGACGTCGCAGCCGTCTGTCGCCGCCGCCGCCTCCAACGCGGTCGACCACGCCGCCGCCGGACCGGGCCCGAGCAGCGGCGTAATGCCTGTCACGTGAAGCCACTTTGCAGGCGAGAGGAGAGACGGCCAGTCGAAGGTGTCACCGCTTGCTACGGTAGCAAAGGCCGAGTGGTGGCGCTGGTAGTGCGGCCGCGGGCCAGAGCCGTCGTCGACGACGTGAAGCGTCCCGAGGACGGAGTGCGGCGACCCGTCGACCACGACGTTTTCCGTCGCCACGCCAGAGGCCTCTGCGGCCGATCTGACGGCGTCCCCAAGCGGCCCGTGCGGAAGCACAGAGACGTATGACGCTATCGGGGCCGCGGAGACGCGAGACAGCGCGACGGCGACGTTCAGCTCCGCTCCTCCGACCGCCTGCACCACCTCGGCGGCCGGCGCGGCGAGCGGCAGCGCCACGTGAACCGGCGTGGCCGGACGGGGCTTGAAGGTCATGACCGCCTCGCCGAAGGCGACGAGCGCGGAGTGGGCGGCGGTGCAGTTTGTGGCGGAGTGGGCGGCGGCCACGCGAAGGCCACCGCACAGCACGGCAGTCGCGAGCGAGCGCTTGTGCATGGTCGCAGAGCAAGGCGTGCTCTGTCGAGTCGGGAAGCGACAGCGCGCAACAGGATTTGTCCCTGGCACAACGCTGCGCGCGCTGCGGGCGCTGCCAGTGGGCCAGCTGGGGGGGCAGGCCGCTGGTACTCGAGTAGGACAGTGACCGCCGCAAACCCTGTGTTTTGCTCCAAGGGATTTCGGATATTTTTTGTAGGCACCGGAACGCCGCATGTGCGCGTAACGAACAACATAAATCTCTCGTAACGACGCTGTGCTAGAGATGCCTTTCGGGGCCCAGAGATAAAACTTCTGCTGCCATGCGTGACCTGATCCTACCTAGTAGTGTCCCCAGCTATGGGCGTGTCCACGTTGGACGGTTGGAGCCAGCCAAGTGCGGCGAAATCCGGTCCATCAAATCTCTCTCTCTTCGGGGCCGTTACCGCCTGGTAACGCCGAAGAGATCGGTCGGTCGGGTGGGTGGGTTGGTCTCCGCCGCACTCCCGCCGCCTCCAGCCAGCCTGCGGTCCAGCCCTGACCCGACGGGGACGCCACCACCCTCGTTCAACGCCTTTAGAGAGATTTTTGAAACCAACAAGCAATCGCGACTACCACTTATCTCTTAAGTAAGTAAGTAAGTAAGTAAGGCACCGACTGCAATTCATGTAAACGAGCGAGCGAGCGTCTTCCGCCTTCTCTCCCGCGTTACGCTGACTCCTTCATGTCACCTTTACGCTGAAAATGCGTTTCGCTTAACATGGATGGGGTGTAGAAAAAGAGGAAACGACTGGCGGGAAGCGGGTCAGTGAGTACCGGCCGGGCTTCCAACAAGTTTGGAACCGCCCGCCACGCAATCTCGCCCGCCCCTGCGATCGGCCAAAATCGCCCCACACAACTCGAGCATCGGCCCGTGATCTGTCCGGTGCGCGTGCGGTCGGTGCCGTGGAGGCGTCGGCTCAAATGCAAACTCACGACTTCATCTGCGACGAGCGCCTCGACTGCGGCGGCACCATCTCGCCCGTGCTGAACGAAAAGTATGAGTTGCTCGGTGACGAAACCATCGGTGCAGGATCCTTCGGCAAAGTGTACAGGGCGAGGTCGCGGGCTGAGGGCAGCATCGTTGCCGTCAAGAAAACCGAGCTCAACGCTGGAGACAATGGAATATCCGTTTACACGCTGCGAGAGGTGCCATTCCTCCATCGCTCTCGCAAGTCAAAGCCTTCCGCCTTCCGCAAACGCAAAACAGGTGCCCTAAACGCGCCGTTCCTCCCGCAGGTGGCGCTTCTAAAGAACCTCATTCACCCGAACGTTGTGCGAATGCAGGCGCTGCCCGCGACCCCTCCCCAAGCGTTGCACAATCCCTCAAGCCCTTTTCGACCGTGCGCATGCAGGAGTTCTTGGAATGCCGCGAGCAGGAGGAGATGTATCTCATATTCGAGTATCTAGACGAAGACCTCGCCAAATGCCTCGAGACAAAGTTCCAAGACGGGATGCCCGCGGAGCTCGTCAAGTCTTGCACCATGCAGGCGCGTGCGTACACCTGTGAGGATCCGAGAGCAGGAGGGGATTACAAGAGCGCTCTGGTACCTCAGCCCGCTGCGCACCCCTCCTGATCGCGCCTCAGATCCTGCGCGGGCTCGCCGCTTGCCACGCGAGGCGCATTCTGCACCGCGACCTCAAGCCGCACAACGTCCTCATCCGCGAGGACGGGAGCGTCAAGGTTGCCGACTTTGGTCTCGCACGCACCGAGATGAGTTTCTCGCTCAACGCGCGCCGAGATGAGGTGTACACCAATGAGGTTGTGACACTCTATTACCGTGCGCCAGAGCTGCTTCTCGGCGCAACGGTACGCGCCCCCCCCCCCACCACCAACTGAGACACACGCCCTTCGCTCACCTTCCTCAACATGCCTCCAAGCTGCTGCTCCTCAGCGATTCCTTCAATCGCAGGAGTATGGTCCGTCCGTCGACATCTGGTCTGTGGGTTGCATCTTCTCGGAGCTCTCGTCGCATCGCCCCCTCTTCGAAGGGTCGTCACCGATCGAAATGCTTGCCAAGATCTTCCAGCTGGTTGGCACGCCGCACGAATCCCACGGAAAATCCCTGCTCACGCTGCCAGGGGCGGGGCAACTGGATTTCGGAAAGTTCCCGCGTTGGCAGCCAAAGAGCGTCCGCGAGGTGCAAAGCAACCGGCTCGAGGCGCTCGCCAAGGGCACATCGCCAGGCGGGCGGGCCTGCTTTCACGCGCCTTCCTAGCCGCCTTGGCATGTATTAGGCGTCCGCCTTGCCGCTGCTCGCGCGCTTTCTCGCCCTCGAGCCCGGCATGCGGCCTTCCGCCGAAGAGGCGCTGCAAGACCCTTACTTCGCCTCTCAGCGCTTTCTGCCACGGCCAACCCCTCTCTCCTCGTACCTCAAACCCGACGACACGGAGGATGGGCCAGCGTCGGCGTCACCTGCTGCTAGCGACTTCGACGACCTCGACGAGGAGCTTGTCCTGTTCACCCCCACCGGGCCCCCCAAACGCGCCACCTCCCCTCCTGCCACTGCGGTCGAGCAAAGGGCGCAGCAGAGGAGCTCGCAGGGACTCGAGGCGTCGGCAGGACGGTCGCAGGAGGCTGAAGATCGCGACCTGGCGCACGGCATCGCTGAGCTCCGAGCGCCACAACCAATCAACGGCTCGTCTGCCCAGTGCACGCCGCCGCGCCGCCGCCCGGCTAAGCGCGGCCGCACGAGCCCGGCATGATTCTCCTGTGAGGCATCACATTCTCTCCCATGACATGGCCGTGAAGCATGATGCGCGAGGCACATGCACTGTGTGGACGAGAGCGGGAGAGACCAGAGAGATTTTGGCGCATGCAGCTAGTACATGTATACAGCGCTGCATCATTCCGCAATATGTCGAGAGGGCCCCCTATGACACTCACTGACACATGGTCGACACACTCTCGATTGTTGCCTCCATCGGAGGGTCAGAGATGGAATCGCGCCACGCCGCAGCCGCTGGCTGGGTGTGGGCCGGTCTCAGGCGTTGGCCCGAGGCCATCAGAGTAGAACGAGGTTCTCCTCCTGAAGGTGGTACATAAGGTAGCAGACAACGGAGCGATAAGGATGCCAGCCCTTGGCCTCAGCCAGTGCGTCGATGAGGTTGCGGTTTTTCGCGGTGTCGTCAAAGTCGGCCTGTGACTGGAGCAGCGTCTCAGACTCCTCCAAGTGGCCGATCTCGTACAGGTCGTTGAGGTAGTTTCGGATCGTCAGGTCGCCGTAGAGCATCACGTTGGCGCGTTGCAGAAAGTGCATGAGCACGCCGCCCGCGCTCCAGTTGCCGATGCCCTTCAGCGACTCGAGCATCCGCGCAGCCTCGCGGTCGGACGCCGCCGCCATCTTGGCCCCGCTGATCTTGCCGCTCTTGAAGTCGGCCACGAGCGAGATCAAGAAGTCCGCCTTGGCGCGAGAGTACGCGGCGCTCACCGGCTCGCCCTCGCCCGCCGCATGCGCCCGCGCCTTTTGCAGGAAGAGCTCGTGGTCGTCGTTCTTGCCGCAGGGGAATGAGTCGCCTAGGCCACGGCTCCTCAGTCTTAGCAAGGGCGCGCACGCCATGTGAAGTGTGTGCCTGTGCTCACCGCACAAGTGGGGGTAGCCCGTCTGCTTGCCCTTGATCTTCTCGCAGCTGGCGATGAGGGGCGCAACCAGCTCAGGCGTGAACAGGAAGCCGCTGGTGTTGTGCTTGCCCGTGAGCATCAGCTTGTGCAAGTTGTCGGCGCCGTTGGTGTCCTCACCGCTGTCGATCAGCTCGCGCACCGTCCGATCGAGCAAGCTGGCGCGGTCGTCAGCCCCCATCCGCTCGATGGCGACGCCCACCTTCATCGCGAGCCTGCGCAGGAAGGCGTTGCCCGCGTCGACGCTGACCATCGTGAAGGTGATCGCGCGCACGCACTTGTCGAAGAGGCGCGCCTGCGTCGGCGGCCGTGGCGTGCCAATCTCGTTCTCGAGAGCCGCGGCCCCCACGCGTGCGATCAGTGCCGCGAGCTTCGGGTCCTTGGATAGGTGCACGACCGCCTTGTGGATCACCTCGCGCGTGAGCACGAGAGGCGGTGTCGTGTCGTCAAAACGGAGCGGCGAGTCCTTGGCGAGCGGCTTTTTGCCGCCCGCCGCGACCTGGGCGCGTGGCGCCTTTGGCGGAAAGAGCCAACGCCGCACCGCCAGCGACGCCTTGCCCTCCTTTGCGAGCGCCTTGGCCTGCGCAATCGCGAGCGGGTCGCCCTTGTTGACCTTGACCTTGTTGCGCGGCGCATACTTCGGCGCCTCTTCCTCCTCCTCCCCCTCGTAATCCTCGTCGCTGCCATCACTGCCGTCGTCAGCCTCGGCCGCCGAAGCTTGCTCGTCGGCGCTTCCCTTCTTGGCTCCTCCACGCCGCGCCCGCTGGCCGACCCCGCCGCCGCTCGCCACAGCCTTCCCTCCGACTCCCCTCGCGCGCTTTGCTGGTGCCTCCTCCTCCTCCTCCTCCTCCGCCGCCGCCGCCGCCGCCGCCGCCGGTGCTGCCCCCTCCTGTGAGCTGCAAGCTGCAAACGCGCCCGTCTGGCCAGCCTCGGCGAGCGAGCGCGCCCAAGCGTCGCGGACGGTGAATCGCTTGAGCTTTCCGCTGCCGCCAGCCGCAAGCGTTGCCTATTCCAGGCACACGGATGGAGACGCCGATTCCTCTGCGTAGAGGCTCCGCGGGGCGCCTCGCCTCGAGGTCAATGCGCTCACGGTAGCGCGTGGCGACGGGAGCAATGTACTCGCGGAAAAAGTTGCCCGCGAGGCGAATGTTGGCGAACTTCGCCTCCTCGACGGTATGCTCTGCCATGAGCACGACAAGCACCAACTGCTTCGACGCCTGGCCCGGCCGGTCCACGCGGCCCTTCATCTGCTCGAGGTGATCGCCCGGCGTCGGACGGCAGACAATGGCGTCGGCGTGCCCCTGCATGTTGATGCCCTGCCCCTCGACCGACTTGACCGCGACGATGACGCCGCCGCCGCCCTTCTTCTTCTTCGAGGCGTCGCCCTCCTTGAGAGCAGCGCGGCCCGAAGTGGCGATGGTCTCCGCTGCGACGTCGGACCACATCCGCGCGGCGATCCCGTGCGCCTGGAGCACCTTGAGGAGATGCGCCGCCTCAGGGGCCGTGTCGGCGAACACGAGGGGCCGTCGTTTCTGCCGGAGCAGCTTTGCGCACTCCTTGGCGAACGCCTCGCCCATCACCGAAGTGGAGGCATACGACGCCGGACCCTCCTCGCGGCCCTCGTACACCTCCCTCAAAAAGCACTCGAGCTCGGTATAGAGCTTGCGCCCGTCCGCCTCGCCCGTGTTCTGCTGCTTGCGCTGGAAGGCGGCGATGATGCCACGGTAGCGCTGCAGCTGCGCCGCAGGCAGCTGCACAGGCTCGCCGCGCATCGTCCACGTGCGGTCCGTCTCCGGGACCTGTATATGGCAGCGGCGAAATCGGATGGTGCAAGGTGCGCTTTTGGAAGGGGGGGGGGGGGGGGGGGCGCACCTGGCAGACGATGTGCTCATGGATGGTGGCGGGCAGCCACTCCATCGTGCGTGGCAGCGGCGTGCGAAGCATCCGGATCATGTAGAAGAGCGCCGAATACTTGGAGCGGAAGAAGGTGGCCGAGAGCATGAGCACGCCAAACAAGCTGACCTCGATCTGCCGCCAGGCGGAGGGGCACCGTTTCGCGTCGGCGTTCTGGACCGAGAGGCACTCGTCGATGACGACAAAGTCCCACGCCGCCTGACGCACGAACGGGTGCTCGCACACTCGGTCGAGCGTCGAGATGACCAGCGAGTTACCATCGACCGGCGGGTTGTAGTGACCGTAGGTGAGCGAGAAGAGCCGGCCGTCCTCGCGCTGCTCGATGACGTGAAAGTTGCGCGTGTGCGTCGCAATCTCCAGAAGCCACTCCTTGACCAACGCCTTCTTCTCCATCATGACGAGGACGCCATTCCGCTTGCCGCCCGTCGCCTCGATGTAAGCAGCGAGCCGGCAGATAGTGGCCAAGGCCGTGAGCGTCTTGCCAGCGCCGACGGCGGAGGCGTCGGCGTGGCCGAGCCGGCCGCTTTTGACGCCGCTCACCACCTTCGTGACGGACGCCTCCTGGTGCGCCCATAGCGTGGTGGTCGTCGTCGGCAGCGGCAGATACTCCTCGCCTGCACCCCCCGCCGCCTCGTCAGCACCGTCGAGTGCAGCCGCCGCCGACTCCGCCGAGCTGCTAGCCTGACCCGCGGCCTCGCTCTTCGTCTGCGCCGTCGATCGCCGCGGCCGCTTGCAGCTAGCGCCAGCCGAGTTCGCGATGGCGCTACTGCCAGCCGCGGCAGGCGGGGCGGCGGCGCCGGTGGCAAGAACGCCCAAGGGCGGTGCGGAGAGGGAGGCGGCCGAGGGCACGGCGCCGCGGCCGAGCCACTCGAGAGACACGAGGAGGTGGTGGTAGCCGGCGCCGCGCGAGCGCACCCGCCACTTGAGCGCGCCTTCCGGAGATATGGGGAGATATGGGGAGATATGGGGAGATATGGACCTTGACCCGCCACTTGAGCGCGCCTTCCTTGAGGAGCGCCGTCGGGTAGAGGCACTCGAGCGCGTGGAAGAGCCGCAGCAACACGCCCTCACTCATGTCGCGCGGTGAGCCGCTGCCGTCGGCGAGGACCGGCCCCAGCACGACGTGCTCCGCGTCGCGAGTCTTGATGGCGAGCAACGCGTCGCGCCTAGGGTGAGGGAGGTCGCCTGATTAATGAATGAATCAATCCGGCGAGATTCGACGAGCTACGGCTAAGCGGCGGGGGGACTCGGACGGTCGTGGCGACGAGGCGAAGGGTGGGGGTGCGACGGCGTACCACGTCCGCGTGACGATGCCACCGCTCACGGCTAGCGGCAGCCAGTCGTACACGAGCCCCTCCTGCGCCCCAAGCCGCCGGGCCTCGGCGGCGTACGCGTGGAGCGCTTGCATAACGCGGAGCACCGCCTCGCCCGAGGGCAAAGTGGCCGCCTGTCCGGGAGGCGAGAGCGCGAAGGCAGCTCAAGGGGCAGGGAAGGACGGCTGCGGCGAGAGGGCTGGCGCTCGAAGGGGGTGGGCTGGTCTGCATGCGTGAGTCGAGATGGATCCCCGGTGCGTGAGCGGGGTTGAGGAGCGAACCACAGAGGGCGCGCCTCGTCTGGCACGACGTACAGCGCGACGCGCAAGAGAGACGCCCGCTCACTGCCGGGGTCGAGCTCGAGAGGCTTGTGGTTCTTGAGGTCGAGCGAGCACGGCGCGATCACAGCGCGCGCGTCAAAAGCCTCCACCTCCCTCCCGGCGATGCTGAAGCTCCAGCCGCCGCCCGCCCCGAGCGTGGCAGTGAGCTTCACCGCC